CAATGCAGCAAAGCAAAGTTTCCTTACAACATTCAGCAAAAGCATTGTTGACAACAAATTCAATTAAAACTCCAATAATGATCCAAGTTGATAGACTCGTAACACAACAAGGCCTGAGTAAAAAAAATAATATAATATTTAATAAATTAATAATTTTAATATTTCTTAATATTTAAATATAAAAAAAATTAAAATGGCAATAAGTAATAAGTGAGGGGCAGATAGCAAAAGTGGAGTAAAATTTGAGTGCAAACAAAAGTGTGATAAAAAAATTGCGAGCAAAAATGGGTTTTTATAGTAATTTCAGGTTTAAAATATTTATTTAAATAATAATTTTAAAAGAAAATGTTCCCTTCATTAGACTTGACGGAATTTTTGTAGTGTCAAATTAAAAACTATTGTTACCCCCTAACGTTACAAAATTGACAAAATAAGTGAATTTAAATTTTATGTAAAATTTAATTTAACTTTGGAGGTTAGTGTTGCAAAAATACATTTTTAAACAAAACATATATTGTTAGAAAAAACATTTTTTATTTATAACTTGATATGAAATTTCAATTGAGAATTATAATTGATAATAATATATTCACATATATATTATATGCATATTCAATTTGTGAACTTTTTTATTTATAACACCTATTTTAATAAATATTAATTGATAAAATCTATTTTATAATTAATTTTTGTCATTTTTTCAATTGGTCAATTTTCTTCTATTTTTTTGCACTTCAGTTGTTCAAGAAATTATATTTTTTTAATTAATGCAAAAAACAATATTTTTCAAAATCTGATCGATTTTTTTTAAATAGTCAAATTTTCGAAAAACTACAACATTTTTTTAAAAAAAGACAAATTTGACAAATTTAAGTTACTCCTTATAGGGTTAATAGAATTGTCATTTAACAGAAATTCTTCTAAGCTAATTTTTTTGACAGAGAATTTCTATTTCACCAATACTTTATTTCCGTATTTTCATTAGATAGAAATATTAAAATGTCGAATTTTTATTTTATCGATCTTTCATATATCAGATTATCCACTTGGTATAAACATTTCAGCGGGAGTATTAAAATCAACCAACCACAATTTTCTTAATAACTTTTGATTGCTTGATTTTAACGTTCGCCGGACTGAAGATTTTTTATATACGCAGTTGCCGGGAACCCAGCCAGGGTGGGTCAAATGTTTTTTTCTTTGTATATTGAAATAAAAACTTGGAATCATCCAGTTTTTTTCTTAAATTGTTATATGTTACCAAATAATATATTTTATTAATGTTTTGTTGATTTTTTATTTGTTTAAATAATTTTTTATTAATAATTTATGACTTTATTAAATATACATTGACAGTAGAAAAATTTTATAAATTTGTTAACTTTTCTTTGAAGTTATTAATTTAAAGGTTAAAAATAAAATATATAATGAAATTTGCAATAACTATTATTATAAATTGTTTAAACAAATAACTGTTGCTATTTCTTAACTTTTTTTGTAGTGCACCTAGAAAGATGCAGTTTTTTCCTAATTTTGCAACTAAACAAGCATAATATAATAGCAAAATTTAAAAAAAACTGCATCTTTCTAGGTGCAGAACAAAAAAAGTTAATAAATAACAATAAATTGTTAAAACAAATAAAAAATGCAATATGATATTTTTATATCCATTATTTGACAACATAAAACACTTACAGTGAAAAGTCTGGATGATTTCAAGTCTTTTTGTAAAATAGAATTAAAAAAATAAAAATAAATTAAAAAATCTCCGTACATACATTGATAAAAGTTATAAATAATCAAGAAGAAATTTTTTTTAAAAATTGGTTTTTACATTTTTTGAAAGTTCGAAAGATTTTGTTCAGTGACTTAAAATTGCGATTCATTTTAGGCAAAACTTTAGAAGATATGACAATTTCAATTCTGTCTGACCCACCCTGGGTGAGTATCCCGGCAAGCGAAGGTTAATACTCCCGCTGAATTTTTACCAAGTGGATAATCTGATATATGAAAGTTCGGTCAAATGAAAATTCGACATTTTAACATTTCTATCTAATAAAAATTCGGATAAGTGAAACTTCGGTCAAATAAAGTATTGGTGAAATAGAAATTCTCTGTCTTAAAAATTTAGCTTAGAAGAATTTCTGTCAAATGACTATTTTATCAAATAAAAATTAGATTCTATAGAAATTTTTTATATAGAAATTCTTTTAATTAGAAATTCTGTTTATTACAACACTTTTAAGTGAATATTTGGATAAATATAACTTCGACAAAAGAACAATTCTAATACATAAAAAATTTGTTTAATAAACATTTTTCGAGATATAAATTTTGTCATATGGAAATTGTATAACTTGAAAATTGGATATATTAGAAAATCTGCTCTATCACAGTCCAGTTAAATAGAAATTCTACAAAATCAGAAATTTGTTAAATAGTAATTTTTTTATATTAAAATTGGGCTCATTATAAAATCTTTTTTTTTAATTCTACTAAATGTAAATTCGATAATTTTTAATTTGACACCAAAGAAAATCCGCCAAATGTAATGAAGGGAATATTCATGCATCCCAAAAAATAGTCATCAATATCTCTTCTAAATAGATAAATTAATCAAAATATCTTAACCCGTTTTTGCTCGCAAAGCTTTTAACCCATTATTACTCCCATTCAAATTATAACCCACTTTTACTATCAGCCTCTCAAGTAAAAATGTGAACAATATCGATTGTGTTATCCCATCTGCGGTTAGACCCGAGATATCTCGGGGTAAATAATTTTAGTGAAATCCATGCAAAATCTCAATATTTTATTAAAAATTCTTACCTCACACTAATACCGAAAATGACAAGTGAAATGCAGGATAACTAAGAATACGGAAAAGTGAGGATGAAACTGATGCTTTCAAAACAAAACGGTAACTGACGATGCCAATTGATGATTTCAAATCAGAACGATAATTCTTGATAAAACTGAGGATTTCCAATCAAAACGGTAACTGCAAGACGAAAATAAAATTATGGAAATTGTTTTTTCTAGTTAAACAAACACTATTTTATAAGAATAAATAGATAAAATACTTTTAATAGGTTTACAAATATTTTTTAAATATAATAATATTTACTGATAGACACATTTTTGAGTTTTTTTTTTAATATGTGACGTGATCTGAAGAAAGGGACTTTAAAAGCTAAAATTATAGGTTATGTTGTGAAATTTTAAAGTGAAAATACACAAAGAAGTTCAACTTGTAATGCAAACTAATTTTAATATATCTTCTTTACATTCAAAATATTCAATAAATCTGATATCAGTCTTACAAAATCAAAAATAAACTTTTAGTTCAAGTAAAACTGTCGTAAACACAACCTACAATTCATTTCCTTCTAATGTCCCTTTCTTCAGATCGTATTACATATTAAATTGGTTTAAAATTTGGAAAAAGAAAATAAAATTGTGGTAATAATATTTTTTAGTTAAACATACTCTATTTTATAAGAATAAATGCAAAAAATAATTTTTTAAAATAATTCTGTTTACCCATGGACGACTTTTTTTTTTATTTTTTTCCACAAAATTGATTTGAAATTTGGAAAAAGAAAATAAAATTATGGAAATAATTTTTTCCAGTTAAACAAATTCTATTTTATAAGAATAAATTTATAATAATATAATAATATTCAATAAATTAATAAATTTAATCTTTTTGAATATTTAAATATTAAAAAAATTAAAAGGGCAATATGTAATAATTGAAAATAAGAATAATATCGATTGTGTAATCCCTTTACATTTATACCTGCAATATCGCGGGGAATATAATTTTAGGAAAATCCAATCAAAATCTCAATATTTTTTATTAAAAATTCTTACCTCACACGAAAGCAGAAAATAACAAGTGAAATGCAGGATATCCAATAATACCGGTAAGTGACGATGCAATTGATTCTTTGAAAACGCAAAAACAGTAACTGACAATGAAACTGATTACTTCAAATCAGAACGATGATTGACGATGAAACAGAGGATTTCCAATCAAAACGGTAGCTGCAAGGTGAAAATAAAACTATAGAAATTGTTTTTTCTAGTTAAACAAACACTATTTTATAAAAATAAATAGATAAAATACTTTTAATTGGTTTACAAATATTTTTTAAATATAATAATATTTATTGATAGACACATTTTTGAGTTTTGTTTTTGTTTGAATATGTGACGCGATCTGAAGAAAGGGACTTTAGAAACTAAAATTATAGGTTATGTTGTGAAATTTTTAAGTGAAAATACACAATTTAATATATTTAAATATTAATATTATTATTAATTAATTAAGATTATTATAATATATTGTTGAAATTATATATTATATAATTAAGTATTAATGAATAGATACTTTAATATTAATAGTTTTATTAATATTAATATTAAATATAATTAATAATAATATCTTTATTAATAAATTTTTTTGAAATAAATATATATATATAAATATACATTATGTGTGTGACGTCACAAGTTGGCAATATATTTTTGATCGCGAGCAAAGTAAAATAATAGAGAAAATAGCACCGATGCTTCTAGAGTGAGAAAAAATTGCACTTCCATTTACGATGAATATATTTTCTATTAACGATTATTCCATCATCCAATATATTATAAATTCGATTAATTTTGCAAATAAAATACAGAAATACCGAAATAATATCTATTTTTACAAAAATTTATCGATTAACAACGCAAAAATTCTGTGAACCACATTCTACGATTGTGGGGAAAAAATGACGCCAAGCCAAGCGTGCACAAAATGGGACGGACATAGAATCTCACACCGCAAAAATTTACTATTTTAATTCAATTTAGAACCCGATTCTTACTTATTTAAAGAGTATTTCTGAATTTCGGACGAATAAAATAACTAACAAGAACACCGAATAGATCAATCAAAAAAATTTTAAACACTCAAATGATATTAACAAAGAATTCACTTTTTTACTTACACTTCTCTCTGCGACGAGTTGCAGACATTTATCTCAAAATGAAAACCACGAAAGTTTATTAAGTCGAATTCACAAGTGTCGAATTGACAAATGTTCTAACCTCTATTTCCATGAATTGTATATTAAACGAAATGTTATTGTTTCGAATACTAATATGATCAACTTTCATGCGCAAAAAATTATATTTTGATCTAATTTATATTTTGTATAATTTTAAATTTCTCTAATTTTTATTTATCCTAATCTTTATTTAACCTAATTTTCATAAAGTCGAAATATGAAATGTTATAATGTTGATTTAACCTAAATATAATTTATAATAAAGGTAATTTGACATAATTATTATTTATGGTAATGATTTAATGTACGAATTAAAATGAAATCAATTTTTCAAATGTTTAAATTATATTCAAAGCGAAATATTATTTTTTGGAATTATATTTTCACATAATTTCTATTTACACTAATGGATTAATGACAAAATTAAAAAATGTTAAATTTGTAATAGACTATACTCTTAAAGTTGACGAATTTCTATTTCATAAAAATTATTATTTGCCTAATTGTCATTTAATATAATGTGTTTCTTTACGAAATACAAAGTTCTTTAATTTTTATTCATCCGATTTATAAGATAACCTAAATGTTATTTTTCATATTTCTTATTCGTTATAAATAAGATGTGTTCTAATTATTATTTATCATAATTTCTTTATTTTCGAATTTAATTCTAACCTAAATATTAAAATCATTAATTGTAAATTAATTAAATCAAATTTCGTCGAATATGCATTTCAACTAATCTTCATAGCATCAAATTATTATTTAAAATAAATTTTACTTAATCGAATTTCAATAACTTATAATGTACATTACATTTAATTTTTATTTAATTGAATTATCGCGCCACATAATTGTCACGTGTCCGAATCGTTTGTCGTCGAATTATAAAAACCCGAAAATTTGTAGCTGAATGAGTTTCCTATCTATGACATTTACTTTTTCTATTAGTATAGCCGATAATGTAGATTTATAATAACGATGATTTTATAATATTTATAAAGCGTCATATAGTAATTAAATTAATATACATATAAAGTATGAAATATTTAAAACTGACGCTCAATAAAACTAGAGATTAGAAAATGACAAAAGCGTCATCTAAATCTACATTATCGGCTATACTAATAGAAAAAGTAAATGTCATAGATAGGAAACTCATTCAGCTACAAATTTTCGGGTTTTTATAATTCGACGACAAACGATTCGGACACGTGACAATTATGTGGCGCGATAATTCAATTAAATAAAAATTAAATGTAATGTACATTATAAGTTATTGAAATTCGATTAAGTAAAATTTATTTTAAATAATAATTTGATGCTATGAAGATTAGTTGAAATGCATATTCGACGAAATTTGATTTAATTAATTTACAATTAATGATTTTAATATTTAGGTTAGAATTAAATTCGAAAATAAAGAAATTATGATAAATAATAATTAGAACACATCTTATTTATAACGAATAAGAAATATGAAAAATAACATTTAGGTTATCTTATAAATCGGATGAATAAAAATTAAAGAACTTTGTATTTCGTAAAGAAACACATTATATTAAATGACAATTAGGCAAATAATAATTTTTATGAAATAGAAATTCGTCAACTTTAAGAGTATAGTCTATTACAAATTTAACATTTTTTAATTTTGTCATTAATCCATTAGTGTAAATAGAAATTATGTGAAAATATAATTCCAAAAAATAATATTTCGCTTTGAATATAATTTAAACATTTGAAAAATTGATTTCATTTTAATTCGTACATTAAATCATTACCATAAATAATAATTATGTCAAATTACCTTTATTATAAATTATATTTAGGTTAAATCAACATTATAACATTTCATATTTCGACTTTATGAAAATTAGGTTAAATAAAGATTAGGATAAATAAAAATTAGAGAAATTTAAAATTATACAAAATATAAATTAGATCAAAATATAATTTTTTGCGCATGAAAGTTGATCATATTAGTATTCGAAACAATAACATTTCGTTTAATATACAATTCATGGAAATAGAGGTTAGAACATTTGTCAATTCGACACTTGTGAATTCGACTTAATAAACTTTCGTGGTTTTCATTTTGAGATAAATGTCTGCAACTCCTCTGCGACGAGTAGAACAATGAGGAACATGAGGAAGAAATGGTTTTAGTGGGAGTTTACTGGTAGCGCCACAAGTCGACACTTCCTGTCGTATGAAACTATACCAAAATGGCGAATTTGAATTCAAAACGATCAACTTTTAATAAGTAAATTTTAGATCTGTATTAATCTATTTTTTTCTATTTCAACACATTCATTTTTTTTTTGAATGTCAACCACCTTTTTTATAAGTGAATAAAAAACAATCAGTTAATTAAAAAAACAATAAAAAAGGAGGAGAAATTCAATGTAACGCTTAAAGGACTAAACAGAATAGCTTCGCGAAAGCGATATATTCGTATCCTTTTCTATCTCATGCATCTCGTTCGCGAACGACTTTCGCGAAGCTATTGTGCGTTGGCCCTTATGCTTTCAGCGTCAGAAATGCATGCACATGCGCAGTGTGAAAAGTGGGAAATTTAAAAAATAAAGTGAAATTAAAACATTTGTTTTCATTTACTTGATATTTGTATTATAATTAATTTTTTTATTGTTTAATTGTATTTTAAATTAATAATAATATACACGTACATTACAGTTAATTTAAAATTTTTTAAGTGATACCACTTGACAAGAAAAAGTGCTTAAATTAATTTAAAATTGTTTATAAACAAATTTTTAAGAATAAAAATATTTACTCATACACACATTTTTGATTTATTTTATTGACTAAAATTGGTGTAAAATTTGGAAACTGAAAATAAGATTATGAAAATAATTTTTTCTAGTTGAACAAACTCCATTTTATAAGGATAAATGTATAAAAGAATTTGAAATTGTTTACAAACATTTTTTAAGAATAACAATATTTACCAATAGACAAATTTTTCAGTTATTTTATTGAATAAAATATAACATTTTTGTTGACATTTGATGCGCTTGAAGTTAGAAATCCTTCATGTCTAAAGGTAATGCAGATTTTTATTTTCAACTGTTTTTACAAAACATTTTTTAAACGGCTTTGCCCCCAATGACAAACATTTTTTATTTTTAAAATTTCACTTATATAAATAAAAAAATGAATTTAAATTTAATGCAGATCGTGTAGATAAATGATTCATTTATTCAATCGAAATATTTTTAAGACCCAAGTGCTTAAAACTATTTTTTAAATTTGAATCTTCGATCAACGAAATTTTCATGTCTTCCTTGCAAAAACTATTTTTATATTATATTTTTTATTGTACTTAATATTTTCGAGTTTTTTTCTTTTCTAATTAATTGCTTTAATCATATTAATAATAAACTGTAAACAAAAATTGTATTAGATGAGAAAGAAGGAAGATATTTTGAAAAACGCCTTTGCCCCACATAGCGGTTTTACCCCGCTCTCCCCTACACTCCAGGCCTCGCGGAACTAATTTTTACGATTTTATTTTTTTTATTTTTTTTTCAAAAATACGATTTTTTTCGACTTATTTTAATAAGATACGACATTTTCGACTTTTTTTTACAACATTTTTAAATAAAATAGAATTTTTTTTAATATACAATGCAGCTCTTCTAAAATTGAATTACTTAACAAATTTTTAACTAAAATTCTTCACTAAATTAATTATTTTCAATAATTTAATTAATTTATTAACTAATTTGTTTAATTAATTTTTGTAAGACCGTTTATTATTGTAAATAAAAATAAAATTCTTCAAAAATTTAATTATCTGAAAATATTTTAATTACATATATTTTAAAAAATTTAATAATATTGTTAAATCGACGCCTTCCGTTCATAAGATCGTATTTCAATTGACAAAATAATAAAATCGTACTTGAAGCTCAGTTCAATATAATCGTACAAAAATTTCCGTGTAATAACCGTATCTCGAATTAAATTTGAATTTATGTAAAAAAAAGTATAAATTCGTTTGTGATATTATTTTATAATTCTTACAAATTAATGATTAATTATAATAATAATTATTAATAGAAAATAGAAAAAAAAATTAAATTATAAATAAAAAATAATATCTATAAATTTTACGATTTTATTATTTTGACAATTGAAATACGATCTTATGAACGGAAAACATCGGTTTGACTAAAAAAAATAACTTCAGTAAATAAATTTATCAAAAAATGCAATTAAAAATCACATGAAATACAATTATTTCCAAAAATCTAAACTTAATAATTAATAACAATTTTAACGAAAAATTTCTATCAAGTCCTTCAAAACATCAATTATTATTAAAAGCATTTTTTAATTAAAAATTCTGTAAAATTTAATTGTTCACAAAAATTAAAAAAATGTTCAGCAATTAAAATATTCAAAAATTTCAATTGTAAATCTTTGGAAATTTAAATAAAAATAAATTTTTTTGAAACTAATAATAATAATAATAATAACTAAAATAAATTTTAATAAAATAACTAAATAATAAAAAGTAAAAATTTTACCCGTGTGGAAAAGTGATGTGGGCCCCCAGCGGGGGCCCTTATGGATCGCCCTCATGCCATGAGGGCCGCATATGGATGATCCATAGGGGCCCCTCATGGAAACGACATGCTCATCGATGAGGGCGCCCGCATGGGCGATCCATGAGGGTGCCCCTACGGGCGCCCTTATGGGCCCTCACGTTTGCCCTCATCTTGCCCTCAAGTTTGCCATAATGTTTTTTAATCAATAATATTAATAATAAAAGTTAATTAATAATAAATAAGCTTAAGTTATGAATAAATAACATATTTATTTAATAATTATTCAATTTTAAATTAAATTCTTACTCAAATTCAATTTATTAATTAACGTTCTAATTAATTAACTGTCGGATATAATTAAAAGTAATAATAAATT